CTGTAGAGCTAGGAACTTCCCTCTCAGGACTGCTTTCACTGTGTCCCATAGATTTTGGCTGTTGTGTTTTCATTGTCATTCATTTTCAGGATGTTTTTAATTTCTTCTTTGATCTCTTTGGTAACCCAGTCATTATTTAATAGCATGCTATTCAGCCTCCAGGTGTTTGAATTTTTTTATTCTTTTTATTGTAGTTGTAAAATAATGTTCTAATATTATGCAGTTGTGGTCTGAGAAGATGGTTGGTATGATTTCAATCTTCTTGAATTTGGTGAGACTTTGCTTGTGACCCAATATGTGGTCTATCTTTGAAAATGTCCCATGTGGACTTCATAAGAATGTATATTCCATAGCTTTGGGGTGAAATGTTCTGAAGATGTCAATTAAGTCCATCTGATCTAGTGAGTCATTTAGGATTGCTGCTTCTTTGCTGATTTTTTGTTCAGAGGAATTATCCAGTGATATCAGTGGGGTATTAAAGTCCCTTACTATACTTGTATTGTTGTCTATCTCTCCCTTGATGTCTTCCAGAAGTTTTTTTATGTTCTTGGGTGCCCCTGTATTGGGTGCATATATGTTTACCAGAGTCATATCTTCTTGTTGTATTGATCCCTTTAGTATTATGAAGTGGCCTTACTTCTCTCTTGTTATGGCCTTCACTTTGAGGTCTATTTTTTCTGATATAAGAATTGCTTCCCCAACTTTTTTTTTTATTTCCATTTGCTTGAAAAATATTTTTCTGTCCTTCCCTCTCAGTCTCTGTGCATCCCTTGTTGTGAGGTGGGTCTCCTGCAGACAGCATATGCATGGGTCATGTTTTCTTATCCATTCATCCATTCAATGTCTTTTGATTGGAGCATTCAGTCCATTTATGTTCAAGGTTATTAATGATAGGTACTTGTTTGTAGCCATTTTTATTTTTTGTGCCTGTGTTCCTTCTTCCCTTTTTATTTATTCTTTTTACAACAGTCCCTTTAGCATTTCTTGCATTGCTGGTTTGTTAGTGATAAACTCTTAGGGTTATTTTTTTTTCTATGAAGCTCCTGATTTCCCCTTCAATTTTGAATGATAGCCTTACTGGGTAGAGTCTTCTGGGACTCAGTCCCCTGCCCTGCATCTCTTTATATACTTCATTCCATCTCTTTCTAGCCTGATGTGTTTCAGTTGAGAAATCATTTGATAATCTAATGGTAGATCCCTTGTTGGTAACTCTGTCTTTCTCTCTTGCAGCCGTTAAGATTCTCTCGTCTTGAATGTTTGCCATCATATTTACAATGTGTCTTGGTGTGGGTCTTTTTGGGTTCATCTTGTTTGGGACTTTCTGTGCTTGTGTGACTTTCTTCTTTCCCAAATCAGAGAAGCTTTCTGACATTATTTCTTCAAGTAGGTTTTCTAACCTTTGCTCTTCTTGTTGTCATTCTGGAACCCCTATTACATGTATATTGCTTCATTTCATGTTGTCCCAAAGCTCCCTTAGGCTCTCCTCCTGCCTTTTAATTTATTTTTCCAATTGTAGTTCAGATTGAATGTGTTTTGCTGCCCTGTCTTCTAATTCACTAATTTGGTCCTCTGCTTGTTGCCAGCCTTTCAGACTTCAAGGACCACCAGTGGTTCATGGACCACCTGTTGGCAACTGCTGCTCCAAAGGTTTCCTTAAACCAGTGGTCGCCAACCTTTTGGATCTCACGGACCACCAGTGGTCTGTGGACCACCAGTTGGCAACCGCTGTTCTAGTCTACTGTTGAAACTTTCTGTAGTGTTTTTTATTGTTGCTATATCACTCTTTATCTCCTCTTGATTCTTACATAAGTTGTTGATATTCTCATCCATCTGGTTTACAAACTGTAAACCCTTATTCTGAATTCTCTTTTGACAAATTGCATGACTGCATTTCATTTAGTTCCTTTTCTGGTGATTCCCCCTTTTCTCTCCTTTGGGCGTTGTTTCTTTACTCCTCATTTTTGCTCTCACCGAAGGATCTAGTTGTCTAGTCGCACTGGGCCTATGACTGCAGCTTGGCGATGGGTCACATGTTCACCAGGTGTGGGGTCAATGTGTCAGGCTTGGAGGTGATTCATGTGGTTGGGGCATCTGGGGTTGCTGTGTTAGGCTTGGCAGTGGCTAGCATCTGGGGTTGCTGTGTGAGGCACCTGGGGTTGCTGTGTAGGGCTTGGCTGCTCACTCTCAGTTGTGGCACCTGGGGTTGCTATGTTGGGCTTGGCAGTGGCTAGCGTGATTGTAGCATCCAGGGTTGCTGCGTAAGGCTTGGCTGTTCGCACGAGGATGGGGCGTCTGGGGTTGCTGCATAAGGCTTGGATTCCGGGGAGGCTGTGTAAGGCTTGATTGTTTTTGCACGGTCACAGAGCCTGGGGTTGCTGCTTAAAGCTTGCCTGTTTGCCTGTGGTCATGGCCTCTGGGGCTAAAGTGTCTGGCCAGCAGGAGGGGAGCACACTCCAAAACTCACAGGAGCCTTTGACCGAGGAGGCTGGAGTCTTGGTGTTCATGAATCCGCAGCTGAGGCAGCAGGCCCCTGGCCAGAGTGGCTATAGGGTCCCGGGTGGTGTCTGAGGGAACCCTGGGTGGTGGTGAGGCTGGGCTCCCAGTCACAGCAGCTCTCCCCTTCAAGATGGCACAGCCTCTGTGGCAGAGTCAGCCCCCCCAGGAGAGACTGCAGTGGTAGCAGAGGCTGCCTGGCTAGAGGGCCTTGTCTGCCAGCCCCCAAAAGTCCTGTGGAATCTAACTGTCCTTCACCACCCCACACGTCCACGCACTCCCCTTTCACTCCCTCACTCACACTCTCTCCCTCACTGCTGTCCTGCCAGCCACCTTCTTCCCTCTGGATTCGTTTTTAGGACATTACATATAACATACTGTGACTGAATGAAGGAGAGTTCCACTGTCCCTACCTACTATCCAGTGAAACCACCCAAGGGAACGAGCTTAGCAGAATCAGCAGGGAAGGAAGACCCTGTTGAGTTTGACTGTAGTCTGGCAAGTCAAAGAGATGGGAGAGGTGTATGAGTTGGATCTCCTTGGGAGCCACAATTCCCTCCCATCATGGAGTCGGGGGAAGGGACAGTGCCAGGTGGGGAGTTTGAGTGGGGCACTACACTGGTCAAATGGTAATGCAGGTGTTCTAAGTTGAGCACAGGGAGGACAGAAACCTCCCATGAAACAGAAAGGCAAAAGCTCTCTTGATCTTTATTTTCTTTTTTAATTCTTTATTGTTTAAATTATTACATATGTCTCCTTTTCCCCCCATTGAGATCTCCCCTTGATTTTGATTTTCAATAGGAATACAGATCTTAAAAGCACAGCCTCACGTTTTAAAAAGAAACAAACTAAGGAAAAATATGTACTGTGACCTTGACCTACAATTCTGGTCTCTTCCTCTGTTCTTTAGAGGTGATTCCTATTATGAATTGAAAAGACACTTTCCAACATATATATTCTAAAATATAGGGATAAAATTTGTTAATTTATTTAAAAATGTTTAGATTATAGAAGTTTTAGAAAGACCAAGTCTCTGTCTCCTTTCTCAGTATTTTAATGATAGTGTCTATAATAATAAAAGCGTAATATGCTAATTAGACCAGACAGCCAAACGACCTTCCAGATGACCTTCCGGACAACATTCCAGACAAAGCTTGGGCTGCAAGGGCTGAGGCAGCTGCTGTGGCTGCAAGAGCCAAGCCCCTTGGTGAATTTTGTGCATTGGGCTTCTAGTCAATATATATAAAAGGCTAAGTGACTGACCATACATACATCTGACCATTCGATTGACCGGCTAGCCAGTACATATGACGCGCACCGACAATTTAAAAAATAAACGTTGACTCGTACATGCATGATCCATATAAAGCTCTCGCTGGCACAAATCACACACGTGTGTTTTGATCTGTCATTGGTGATCGTGAATTTGGTTGTTTTTGTTGACATTCTGAAGCTGAAAGAAAGCCGTATCGTCAACAGATTATGTCTGAAGACCAACTATTGGCACAACTGTTCCTATCTGACATTAGCCTCCCATTTAAATTAATTCGAAGACAGTTTCCTGTGATTCCAGCATTTGCAATGACTATTAATAAATCACAAGGACAAACTCTAGACAGAATAGGAATATTCCTACCTGAACCCGTTTTGGGTTGTGGTCAGTTATATGTTGCTTTCTCTCGAGTTCGAAGAGCATGTGACATTAAAGTTAAAGTTGTAAATACTTCATCACAAGGGAAATTAGTCAAGCACTCCGAAAGTGTTTTTACTCTTAATGTGGTATACATTAAGAATGTATTCTATTGATTAGAATAAATTTAATCAATTTGTCAGTCTTTGTTTTTATCAATGTTGTTTTTATATCATGTTTTTGTTTTTATGTCATGTCTTTGTTGTTATATCATGTTGTTATTATTTACTTATTAATCAATTTATATGTTATTTTCATATACATTTTACTAATTTTTTTTCATTTCTGACACGTCTATTATAGAAAATGGTGAATAGCGATATTAAAATATTTCTTCTACTAAATTTACTTTCAATATGCACAAATCTGTGCACCGGGCCACTAGTTTTAACATAATTGATTCTGCTTTATGAAACGGCTTCTCAAGCATTTTTTGTTTACAGTGCTATATGCTGACGATTAGTAAGTAAAATAAACAGAAGACTCACATAAAGAAAATGCAGGTCTGTTTTTGAAAAGTTAGGAGTAAATGCTAAGATTACTATTTTTTTTTATTATTTATTGCTTAAAGTATTACAAAGAGTATTACATATGTCTCCTTTCTAAGATTACTATTGAGTGAATGATGTATTTGTTATAAGTTAGGGAATATTTTTTAGATTTTTAAAATTAAGTCCCTGACATGAATTCAGTATAATATTGTAAAGAAATAGGTTGTTTTTACTTTTCAAAATGTAACTATTTTTATCTGCTTGCAAAAATGAACTAAAAACATTTCTGAGAATCTTATACTAAATTATTCCCATTTTCTCTTTAGCAAAATGATCAACTTATCTGAACCAGATACAATTGATGAAAGAGCCATTAATAAGAAAAAGCTCACCCCTTTCACTGTTTCTGTAAGTATTTATGTTGTAAAATGTAAAATGGGAGGCTTTTCTTTTATTTTAAAAAATATATTCTTATTGATTTCAGAGAGACAGGGAGAGGGAGAGAGAGAGATAGAAACATCAATGATGACAGAGAATCACTGACGGGTTGCCTCCCACTGGGGATCAAGCCCACAACCTGGGCATGTGCCTTTGACCAGAATCAAACCCAGGACCCTTCAATCCACAGGCCAACACTCTATCCACTGAGCCAAACCAGCTAGGCTGGAAGGCCATTCTTTTTTTTTTTAAATATATTTTATTGATTTTTTACAGAGAGGAAGGGAGAGAGATAGAGAGCTAGAAACATCGATGAGAGAGACACCGATCAGCTGCCTCCTGCACATCTCCTACTGGGGATGTGCCCGCAACCCAGGTACATGCCCTTGACCGGTATCGAACCTGGGACCTTTCAGTCCGCAGGCTGACGCTCCATCCACTGAGCCAAACCGGTTTCGGCGGAAGGCCATTCTTAATGGATGTTTGGGCCCAAGTAAAACCTATGATTTAACATAATTTCAGTTTCATATAAAAACTAGGTTTTTATTAAATAAAAATTTAGCTGTACTTTGTAATCAGTGGAATTAAGATCCAAAGTACTTTTTTTAACTTTTTTTTAAAAATTTCTTTATTGCTTAAGGTATTACATATATGTCCTTATCCGCCCATTGCCACTTTGGATGAACTTCTTTATTTAATATAATAGTATTCAGGTTATCCTATCTAATAAAAGAGAAACATGGTAATTAGCATACGACCGCTACCCTTCCCATTGGATAATCAGGGTGATATGCAAATTAACTGCCAGCCAAGATGGCGGCCGGCAGCCACGCAGCTGGAAGCGAACATGAGGCTTGCTTGCTTCAGTGACGGAGGGCTCCAACGTTCCCCGCCTGCCTTGCTGGCCTCTTGCAGTTTTAGAAACACTGTTAAAAGTATAGAAGCTAAACAAAACTCTAGAAACCTGCTTTCAGCCTTCTGGGATCTCAGAGCTGGAGATGATACAGTGTTTTGATTATAGAACCCAAACAAACCAGATACCTGCCTTCAGCAGCGGAAGCCTCAGAGCTGGAGCCAGAGCTAAAGCTGGCCCCG